ACAGGGAGAAAATAACCAGATCTCAAGAAACAAAGAAGTGTCACAGTTGAACCAAGGGCACACGATTTTAACGATCTTGGCAAAAACAAATGGTAAAACAACTATTCATCCACTAAACAACTAGATCTAAACTAAAAATAAGGACAACAGAAAAAATAAGGAAAACACAACACATACGAACGAAGGAAAAAGAATATCGCGGTTTGTGCTGCTAGACGAGATCTAAGCTACATCTTACGTAATCCAAAACACACTAGTTGTTCATCTACTCAAAAAAGGAGATCCAAAATATGAACACAACAATATACAGAAGCAAAAGAATATATGAACAAAACAGAAAGCACAACCAACTTGAGTATCATAGTTAGGACCGGTGAATCGAGATCTAAAAACAGATCTATGCAAACTGAGACACTAGAACCGTTCATCTACTCAAAAGAAGGAAATACAATATATGAACATACCTCTACAGAAATGAAAGGAAAAGGCGGTCTTGGTCAAAAGAAGATCATAAACGATCTTTACACCAAAATTACAAAGAAACAACTTCGAATCAAAGGACGGATCAAAACACTTACCTGAGTGATTCAGATGAATGAAAGATAGATCTTAATAGTCATGAAGACGAAAAACCAGATCTAACAAGCTCTGATACCATGATAAAAACACAAAACCAAATGTTTATTCATAGCTAACCAATGTTTACAATACAAGAACCTTAGATCTAATATGAAAAATATTCAAAATGGTGAAGAATATATTCGTAGAAAATTTAAAGAGAAAAGAGATCTATCACAAATGTTGAATCAAAGAAAAATGAGAGATTCTATTCAGCTGAGAGAAGGAAACATTTATATACGAATTCCTTAATTGCAATACTGGTCCTCCAAGAATGAACAAACAACTCCGCTACCCTTGATCTTTGAGAGAATGTGAGGCGCAGTCTCTTGAAATACCAGAGTAAAACATACAATTTTTTTTGACAAAAAGTATTGCGGAGACAGGATTTAAACCAGTAACTTCTCTTTATCACACCTTTAGTCCCTGAACTTTATATCTGACAAAAGTAAAGATTGTATTAAGAAAGTTATATCTTTCAACAAACCAAGTCAATTAACTAACCTGCTCTAAAAACTTACCCATTAACTACGTATGTTTATGTGGTGTTTTGATATCAATTAGGTAACGCTTCGGTGTTCATCTAAACCACTAAATCACTCAAACCGTCCACATCGCATCACACCGTGAATACGTGGTTTAGAACTTTTGCAGTGCGGTTTGCGGTTTTAAGTCATCAAATCACGGCTAAAACCGCACCACACGGACATATTTTTTATATATTTTTTAAATATATATCTATACATATGATCATTTATCAAATGAAAATAATTCATACATTATTGATTATTGAGTAAACTCTAATTTTGTTAATATAAGATCATTTTAGGGGTCGTTTACTAAACACTTACTTGGTAAGTGCTTACCGGATAAATTTCTTTATCGGATGAACATGAGAAGGGCCAAGAATCTTACCGGGTAAGAGCGATGAGAATGATGGAGAGTCTTACCAGGTAAATGAGGATGACGACTCTTACCCAGTAAATTATTGCATTCGATATGTTTTGATGTACTAAAATCTTGCGCATCAAAATAAATCATAGTGTTGACTCCTGTCGGTAAGCGTTTATCGGGTAAACAATTAGGTAAACGGCCCCTAACATGTTTTTTACTATTTTTCTTTTAAAAAATATTAATGGATATAATTTTCATGGTATACAAAATACAAACTCACACACGTATCATATGTATCTGAATGAATAGTGAATAGTAACCGCAGCAAAAGAAGTGGAAATGGGTCCTTTATGAGAAGACAAATTAACAGTGGGTAAAGCGAGATATCTCGTAGGGTTTAGGAGCTGAGAAACTCGCCCCAACAGCATGCAACATTCCAGTCAGTAACCAAGACGAGTTTACAAATGGGTAATTTAGAAGCACATGAAGTCGCATTTGTGACTGTTAAGTTGTAGCCTCCTTCATTGACTTTTATTCTGACTATGGATCCCACTCACTTCCATGCATGATCTTTGGAGACATATCATATATATATATATATATATATATATATATCTTACGTACACGTAGGGGGAGAGGGAGTCGAGGATGGTGGTTGCAGGTCTGATGAAATGGGATGGAGTTTGAAGAAGATGATCAATGGTGTGGCCTCCACTGTTATTAAAAAAATTTGAACACAATTAAAGCCTACTCGTTTTTCAACACTCTTCCCATCCCCTTTTCCCGCGATCCACCTCCACATTTATACCCAAGATCAAAACCAAAGCTAAAAGGTTGTTTATCAAACGCACATAAAAATCACTATCACTATTCTCAACTATCTCGTGAGCTAGCTGATTAATGATATTTGTCAATAAATTGTTAGTAAGTGGTTTTTATTCGATAATCGTTAATTGGGTAAGAAATTTTCTATCTCACTTATCATGTAAGAACTTCAGTTCTTCTTATGTCTCTTATCATGTAAGATTTTCGGTTCTTTTTTTGGAAGGACTAATCCCGACAATTTGACTGTAAGACATCAACTGTGATAAATTCAGTGGCTATAATTTTAATTAATTAACAACTTTTTTTTATCAAGTTTTATATAAAAAATTTAGATATACTTTCGATAAAATAATTTTCCAATTTTTATCAAATATTCATATGTGTTATGTACGATCAATTCATATATGATAACTATAGATATTTTTGTTATTGAAATGTGATTATGTATATTTATAGATATTATCACATGTGATAATACATCACTTATATATGTACGCATATTATCATATATGATATATACAAAAATTCACAAAGTGAATCATATAGACCTTATGTTAAACGAAGTTTATCAAATGTGATTCAATACATGGATCCAAAAATTTGAGAAAAAATTGTGAAAAATATTATGAATAATTGTAGATATCACATGTGATATTTGATGAAAATTTTGATTTTTTTTTATCAAAGTATATATGGAAAAAAATTATATAAACCTTTATAAGATAAATATGACTTTATTAAATAAGAAATTAATAAATGTAAAAGATATAATTAGATTTTTATAGATTTATTCCATTCAAAATATAATTATCCTAATTTCTAAAATTATTTTCTATTTTTTAATTATATTATTTTTAACTAATGGATTATGTGGCTCATAGCACTGATTAGTTTGCTTCTAGCATGATCATTTGCATGTGTGTGTGTGTATATATATAATATAAGCGAATGATCGTATGAGAATGGAAGTTAAAGTAAGAAACGTAAGAATGGATCTCGATCCTTTATCACTTTTAATCTCACCCTCATTTCCATAAATTGCACTTATCAGGGGGATTGATCTGGTGCATCTATGTGCACCACATCAGTGTGGATCTTCAATTACGATTGATTCAAAGATGAAAATTCCTTCTTAACTTTGATCACTTTCAATCTCAAATCCACCATTGAATTGCGCTTGATACAGGGATTGATATGGTGTATCTTGGTGCATCTCTTTCTAAAGCAAGAAGGGAAGAGAGAAAGTTTACTTTAAGAAAGACCAATTCGTCTTTTTCATAAAGAAATCTCTGATCAAGGAAGCCACTGCCTATGAATCGACGGCTCGTTCTTTACAAGCACGTGGTCAGAGCCCCAGGCTCCTGCCACTACTTAATGTTGATCAGATGAATTGATCCTGCTTGATCTCGATCCAGCGTTGGGCAGTTGTCCCGCGACCGGATCCAGAGGCGTAGGACTTCTAATTCTACGTTTAAAGGGCTTTGTTTCGGTCTATGGAATCTCAGTTCTCATCCTAATGTGCATCCAAATGTGAAGATCATTTTTTACGCTTCTTATCTTAACTCTTATTCTCAGTAGGACCCAACCCTATACATATTATATATATATATATGTATATGCGAAGTATCCTATGAGAAAAAAAGCTATGGTGATAAGCGCAAGAAGATGTTTGAACCATTTATCATTTTTAATCTCATTCCCACCCATGAATTGACCTTTAGAAGGTAATTGACTCGGGGCATCTCGGTGTACCTCATTAGCATTGACATTCAATTAGAATCGATCCAATGATGAAGATCCCTTCTTACCTCTCTCTCTATATATGTATATATGTGTGTGTATGTGTGTATGTTGAAAAAAAATTCAATGTTCTATTTTATTCTTTGTCTATGTCGATGTTATAATACGATTTTATGTGTTTTTAAGAAAGTAATAAAAAATTTATTTTTGAATAAAATATAAATTTAAATATATATAATAATTATTCTAATTATATTTTAGATTTTTTATATTTAAATGAGATGTTTATCATGTATTTGATTATGTTAATATGCTCTTAGTTACATGAATTTAAATATGGAGGTTTAATAAGTTGTACTTACGCACAATCTACTTGTAATCTTTAATTTTAAGTAACATGTATTAATAAACAGTATTTTATGCATAAAAAATGATTTTTAAGAGTTTTTATCAAATATTTTATAATATGGTATAGATATATAAAATTAAAAAAAAAAGATGTAAAGATTAAATTACCGGACTTGAGTAGTTTTTAACAGAGTTAGTTTTAAAAATGAAAATGTTTAATTTTCAAATGAATGATAACTACATGTACCGACTTCTTTTAACTTATTTATATCAATACAACTCTAAACTTATTTCTATTTCCAGGGTATCCGAGTAGAATTCTCATCTATCACCTACTATAAATAGAAACCCCCCTGCCTTCACTTCACTATATATCTCACCGTCAACTTCTTTAGCCTTGCATGCAAATTCGTCACCACCGACTCTCTCTCTCTCTCTCTCTACAACTATAAACCAGTTTCAGGTAACAACTTTGCCGCCATTGAAGCACCATCATGCATGCTATTGCTCGCTTTCTCTCTTCCAGTTGATCACCATCTCATGATCATACACATATAATGAAACACTACACCTCAATGGAATTCAACACCAAAAACAAGAAGAGATCTCTCTTCGCTTTGATTTCACTCGTTTTCCTTTTCTTGCTATCTTTCAATGGCGCTTCGATCTTCTCCGTCAAGATTCCTTCACTGGGTTCCCACTCGCCGGGAAAACCAGTCCGAGACTCCAGAAACTTGATCTCGGTATCTTCTTCCTCATCGTCGTCTCATGCAGTAAAAGGAGAAGCTCCGTCTACAATTTCAATTCCTCATTTGAAATTACAGACCCATTCCGTCGAAAAACCAGTCGCCAGCGCCGGAGATTCGAAGAACTTCGTCTCTGTACCTTACTTCAGGTACACGGTACAACACCCACAAAAACAAATGGCTCCGGCGAAAGAAGAAACCCAAAATATAAATCCAAACACCCATTTGCCTCTTTTGCGTAAATCCCACAGTTTATCAGTTGAATCTGAGGATTCCCCAATCAGAAACAAGAAACTCTTGAAGACGTTGGCTACTTTGGGGTCTTCTCGCGGCCGCCGGGGAGACGATTTTCCGGCGAGAGTAAAGGAACATTTTAGCAAGAAGAACGACAGCGTTTCATGCAAGGTTCGTTTCTTTATGACTTGGATTTCTCCATTGAAGTCGTTTACTGAAAGAGCATTTCACTCCATCGAATCCATATTCAAAACCCATCCAAATGGGTGTCTTCTGATTGTATCAAACTCGTTGGATTCGATCAAAGGACGACAGATTCTGAAACCCTTTTCGGACAACGGGTTCCGAGTAACTGCAGTTTCTCCTGATTTCTCTTATCTGTTCAAGAACACCATGGCAGAATCTTGGTTTTCAAGGCTAATCCAAGGTCATGTTCATCCTGGTGACATCCCATTAGGCCAAAACATATCCAATCTCCTTCGTCTTTGTTTGTTATATAAATATGGTGGAGTTTATATCGACACAGATGTTATTGTCTTGAAAAGTTTCGCCAAATTGAAGAACTCGATCGGAGCACAAACAATCGATCCAAATTCCAAGAACTGGAGCAGGTTGAATAATGCAGTCATGGTGTTCGACAAAATGCATCCCTTACTCTACAAATTCATTGAAGAATTTGCTCTAACTTTCAATGGTAATAAATGGGGTCACAATGGTCCTTACATGGTTTCAAGGGTGGTTTCAAGGCTGCAAGGGAGACCTGGATTCAATTTTACCGTTTTACCCCCGATGGCGTTTTATCCTGTTAACTGGGACAAGGTCCGGATCCTCTTTCGTGGGGCTAAAAACGAGTCGGATTCAAGATACTTGAAGGGTAAACTTGAGCAGATTCGAAACCAAAGTTATACCGTTCATCTTTGGAATAAGCAAAGTAGAGTGTTTCATATCGAAGATGGGAGCATTCTTAGAAAGATTTTATCTGTTCAGTGTATTTTCTGCGGTTCATCTAGCAACGAATATATCGCAAATACTATAGGATAAAGATCGTTACCCGATCGACTTTGTGGTGATAGAAACTAACGCATCGATCGATCGATCTTTGCTGTAAATGTTGTCATGAACTAATTTGGTTCGTTTTGCATTTAAACATTACAAAGACATGTCACATATAATCAGGATCAAGAATTCAGAATTTGTAGAGTTGCGATGATATACATACTTACTTCATTGAGTTTGGATTGTTTTTGGGATCCAGATTTAGTTATAAATACTTTTTGCATTAAAAGTTGTACATTTGATATGCATGGGAAGTTGTACTTTTGGGGGGAAACGAACAAATCAAATTCAAAAACAATAATTAAGATGTTATAATGATGTTGTGATTGCTCATCTTATTCGTATTCATGGGAGTTATGTGATTCAACTTCCACTTACATATGGCTCCATTTATTTTTAGTAAATATCAAATTCAACCAGTTTATCGTCGTAATTACGAACCTGACTGTCACAATTATATATTTGTGTTAATTTTTTTTATCTTTAGCTAGATCCACAACATTCCGGACCTGGATATTGCAAAAGTAGTGACATTTGGGATAGAGAAATGGTGAAAAATCCAATTTGAATAAGGGAAATGGTCATTTCTATTAAAAAATTTATAAATTAAAACAACAAAATTATCTTAAAATAGCAAAATAATGTTTGAATTCACTTAAATAAAATCATTCTTCTAAGATTTTCCGAAAATCAAAGTTGGGAATCATAAAATAGATTAAAAAAAATAAAAGCCCTAAAACTCTCTATAATTGGGCTCTAAAATTTCGGGGGTCTCGTTCCATATCTTATATCGGACAAAGAACAAGAAATTCGATTAAAAATCTTTCGTCCCAAATTATCATTTCTTTTATTTATGTTCATCAATCACATAAATACACATCATCAAATAAACAATAAAAACATGATTTAAATAAATTAACATCAAGTTAAAATCTTATTCGTCTTCACATGATTGATGGGAAGTAAGAGATAAAAATTTGGAACAGGAAATTTGTATTCAATAGATACACAATGACTTACCTAATTCAATAATTTTTTATCCTTGCTTGATAATTAAGCTAAATACAAGCGGTTGCTTAATGATTAACGCATTCATAATGAGGTTCTTATTGAGGTTCCTCTTGTGGTTCTTACAAGAATCACTACTATGGGACAAACGTTCTTATTCAATCACATGTTCTTATTAGAACACAAGTACTTGAACAAGAACCCGAAATCTTGTATGCATTACTTTTTTGTCATTATTTTATTTTTATTATTTCTTAACCATATTTTTAATAAATCTATAAAACATATGTGTTAAAAATTGACACAAAAAATATAAAATTGTAATATTCAGGTTTGAGATTTGAATTAAGATTTTTTTTTGGATTATATATATATAAGAAGGTGTGTGTATGTATAATTGTTTTTTATTTGAAGTAAAATCAATTATGGGAAAAAGGTAAATCATCTGTATGTGTGTGTGTGTGTGTGTGTGCCGCCATATTAGTGTCTCCTCTTACTATTTATAGTAAGAGGGAATTATGTAAAGGGTTTTTCATACTTGCTTCATTAGAAAAGTTTTTCTTGTGAATTGTACGATTTGGCAGAAAAGAAGAAGAGAATCAGAATCAAGATTTCCTTGTTTAAGGTGAGTGTATTAAGCTTTTAGTATAAATTGTTTGCATACAATTCAGTAGTTATTGGAACTGGTTATTATGATTTATATTTCATATTGTACGGATTTTTCTTAAATCGCCCGAGTGTTGACCGGTTTATTTTTAAACCGCTCAAGTGTTGTCCGGTTTAGAGTTAAATCGCCTAAGTGTTGTCCGGATATCATCTTAAATCGTCCAAGGGTTAACCGGTGTAAGCCTTAAACCGCTCAAGTTGTGTTTGGATTATAAATCGCTCAAGTTGTGTTTGGATTATAAATCGCTCAAGTTGTGTCCGGATAATAAACCGCTCAAGGCGTGGTCGATTTACCTTCTTAATATCCTAAGTATTTGTCCGGATATCATATCCGAACAAGGCTGACCGGATTTCAAATCCGGCTAATGTGTTGAAGCATTTTTTAGATGTAATGGCGGTGTAACCGCGAGAGAGATGAAATGGCGGTGTAACCGTGAGAGAGATGTAATGACGGTGTAACCGCAAGAGAGATGTAATGGCAGTGTAACTGCGAGAGAGAGAGAGATGAAATGGCGGTGTAAACGCGAGAGAGATGAAATGGCGGTGTAACCGCGAGAGACATAAATAAGTTTATATATCAGAACAGGTTTGATTCTGAACTGGTTGTTTGGAAAGTATGTTGTTTGTTTGAGAATGATACACTCACTAGGCCTTTTTGGTCTAACGCTCAGTTGTTGGACTAACCTGTTTTGTAGGTCATCATACCTTGCAGGATAAAGGAAAGGGAAAAGTTTAATGTTGATGACATTTGTTTACTCATAAATGTAGTAAAGAAAGTTTTTGTTAGTCTTTGTTTTGTAACAATACTATTTTTAGTATTATGAGTTTATGTATGTGGATTATCTGTATATGGAAATTGTGGGATGTTACAAAAATAATTTGATTATTTTTCGTTTCTTGTAAACTTTTATACAAGTTTGTGTCTTAATAAATTTGAATTATCTCAATGTATTATTATATTTCAATTATTTTTCATATACTTATATGTAATTGATTTATAAATTGTAAATTCATAATTGTAAAATATCTTTTCTATTTTAATGTAATTTATGCATACATGCATAATTGTGCATACTATGATTGTTGAAGATGAACATGACATATTGATCAATTGGATCGATATGAAGAAGTAGACAATTCAACACAAATATTTCAAGACATTACCAATGATCTCCAAAAATATTTTTAAAAAAATTTCTGAGATGTGCTCAAATGAAGTTCATCATCAACTCCATGCGCTCTGATTTGGTTGAACATATGTGGTCAAATCGAGATTACGAGTGATTTGTATAATTATTTATTATTTAGAGTTACTTTTGTAAAGTTAATATTTGTGTAATTTTATACTTTTTTAATTGTAGTATAAATTAAGAAATTAAAATTAATATAGAAAAATAAAAATTAATAAATTATATTTGAAATGTTTTTATAATTTTATAATATATATATATATATATATATATATATAAAGTTGATATAATAATCTATAAATAAAATTACATTTTATAAATTAAAAATGAAAAGTGAGGGGTTTTGTAAAACCTCATTTGTGTAGTTTTATTGAGGTTCTTACTTTATTGAGGTGGTAATAATATGGCAGAAATATTAAATATGGCAAGTAAGGTTCTTACAAGTTCCACCACTCTAGATGCTTTTAGGCTAGTGAAAAAACAAATTAATAGGATATTTGAGATTGCTTATTAAAAGTGTTTATTGACTTATTCCGTTATGGTACTGGTAATAAACAGTTTTTAGTGTTTGGATGGGGGGAAAAGAATGCTTATACCAGTGTCAAACTGGTAATAAAAAGTTTTTAATAAGTTAGTCATTTCTAACTTATCAAAAATAACTTATCAGCTTTGAAAAACAAATTATTTTTTTAACCCTAAATAAACTTTTCATCAGATTCACATACATCTCCTTCCTCACGAGCAACCAGTTCATCAAACAGTTCCTCGACCTTCGACTGGTTCCTACAGAAATCAATATCGACCAGTTCCTTCTATAGAAATCGAAGATCAAACTTCTCCATCCACCATAAAATCAACCTTCTTAAAAAAAATCGAAAATCAAAATAAATGCCTCCATCTCCCACTACCTCTTGGCCACAAACTGTTTTTCATCTAACTGGAGATAGAGACGAAAGATATTGGCAACTGGGTCGAATGGTCTTTCTGGAACCGAGTCGACATCAACAAAAGATTTTTTTGCGACAGCGGGTTGCTGTTTTTGTGGGTTTTGAGACAGAGAGTTTTGCGTGTGGCGTTCAAATAAATGTTGGATGCCAAACTTCGAGAGTTTCTGAGAGGGTTGTTGCTGGATTTCGTTTAATTTCTTCGATCCTCGGACGGGTTTTTTTTTCTAAACGTCATTTCTTGAAGAACCTTGCTATGTGAATGTGAGGGAGAAAATCAAAGTGGCATTGTGATGATTGTTTGATTGTTGTGTTTTCCAATATTTCACTTTTATGGTTATGAGATATATTACTAATGAGAGTTTCTTATCATCTTTTTTGCTTTTGGTTTGGTTCTCATCTCTAATTTTCATCATCTTTTTTTGAACGATATGGAAGAATGTCTTTTTTGGTCATTTTATATGTATAAGCAAAATTTATGGAATACTAAAAAACAACTTATCAACTTATTACGTTTCGGTTTTACCATAAGCTAATCCAAACACTTTCTATAAAACTCCAGTTTAACACCATATAAGTTAATAAACACTTAAAAACATAAGTTGTTTTAAATAAACAATCCCAAACACCCCTAAGAATAAACCAAATAAGCGGTTTATGTTGAAGGTCCGAGTTTAATTACGTAAAGAAATGTTCTTTCTAGCGTTCAGGAATAATTGAAGAGAGTTATCTCCAGTCACCAACATTGGYATAAAAAAAGTAGGAATGGATGATTGAATAGCGGATGCGTTGAGAAGATCAGCCCTAAATGAAGACCCGATACTCTCAACCAAGAACTTCTATATATAACACCAACCACGAAACAGGAGCAAATGGAAAATGCTTGAACAAAACGACCGAGACCACTGGCCGATATGCCTAGGATGTAAATACTTAAGTTTCTAATCAATGTTTTTTCTTTGGAAATTGGCGAGTGATGTCCCTTTCAAATGCATTAATGGCTTGAAAGGGAGGCAAGATGCCTTCCTAATTAATATCGACTACACTCGAATATTGGTGGATTGATTTTTGACTAATTGAAGTAATTGTGATCATTTATAAATGCTTTAGTCACTCATTATGGTTTTATGCATTATTAGTTTTATTATGAAACTTATCATGTGGTAACTGTGAAGTA